CCTTCCAACCCAACCATATGCATCTATTAGTCTTTTGAACCTGTCTTCTGTGACTGTTTTAGGTGTACCAGCTGGGATGCACAGACACAGGAGAGACACAGAAAGAGCAATGCCGCAATGCTATGCTCTGTCATACTGGAAAAGAAGACACAGAGGTTATTTTTGGAACTGGAGTTTAGGTACAGAAATGGGGGCCCTACGGACATGGGCAGCAGAAAGTAGGTGCAGTCTCCAAGTATTTCCCTGAAACTAAACCAGTTGGGAAGATGTTGTCACTTTTCAATGACCAAAAGTGCTCATGGCTGGCAAAGGACTGCCATTTGCAGGTTTTGTCCCTGCTCAAAGCCTGCATAACAAGTGCTAAAGCACACCGTGCTCCTATTTCCCATAAAGTCACCCCGAAATGGAAAGCGACATGTCACACTGAAAGGGTGAGTTCAGCATCACTTCTCCCAGCAACACTCCATGAAGATGTTCCAGCCATCAACCCCTTTTGCAGGATTGCTGGTTCCCAGGTTCCTTCTGCCTAACTTTGGCTGCACTGGCAGATTTCAAGAACTGAGACACCCTCAATTAGTGATTTCACAAGACCTTCCATTCATTTGCAATTCAGTAGCTCAATTCCACCTTTTAGAGACATCTACCACCCGTTTTACCATCTCCACAGAAGCTCCTTCCATCAATCCTTTCCTTTTGTCTATAATGTCCACAGATATAAGAGAAAATTTTATGTGACACAGAGTTATTCTGTTTTACTGAGTCTACTTGCCTTCAAAAGCATCAATAAATCAACAAACCAGAGGTAATTAAGGAACAAAAACAATGCTAAGGGCTTGATTTAAATCCATAAACCCTGGAACATTCAGGACTCAACCTCAGCCCATCCTGTCTGTCCCTGTGCAAAATGTTTAAACAGCAAGTGAGCTTATCTCTTCTAGATGTGTTTGGTGGATGGAAACTGAATTTAATGTACCTTCCCTGTATTTTATCTGCTTACATCAGAACCTTATTATTATTTCAACCTTACAATGACTTAATTAATGTCCAAGCCAAAAAAAAAAAAAAAAAAAAAAAAGCCTGGGTGGCCTGAATATTATAGCTCCATATTTTTTATGAGGTGACCTTTCTGAATTCAAGAAACCATGTTTGATCACTGGTTTTGGGTGGGAGTTTTGCTTGTGAGGATTATGAGTGCATTATAAGGAAAGGCTACTTGATTTATGCATAATTCTTCTCAGAAGGTACAAAACAAGTAGCTATCAACTTAATGCTACTTAATGCTGAAGGCTTTAAAGGGTCACATAAAGTCATCCTTTTTACGGAACAGCAAACAATCACGATTCTAGGTTAGGGTTATAAATGAGAAAGTAAATCACTTATGCATTGCATTCAGTTGGCCCCCACTCTGAACTCATTTAGCACACAACAGCTTGGCTGTTGCCGTATGTCTTGCGCAGACATTCAGTGGGTGGTTTCATAATGTTACACAGCCTACAGAGTTCCTTTTTTTCTTTTTTTGTTTAATCTAATTTACTGTTTTTATCAATATCTGATAAGAAAACAAGAGGCAGCTGTAGTTCTACCACCACAAGTTCTACCACGTGTGCTTGTCACGTGCTATATTGCAAAGTACGAATGGACAAAATTTGTTCAAAAACGGGGTAATATCGCAACATGTCTAAAATATGGTCTGAGATATTTTTTTGTAAGAAATTACATGCTCAGGAAGGCACTTTTGTGGTGGCCACATGAAAAATTATTCCATGTAATGAAGAGATTTAAGAGCTGACTAATAAAAATGTAGGGACTGCATGGGCAGCAGAATAAAGAGCTGGAGCCTGACCACACCACCCTACCAATCCTTATGTAAGAGGGATGATTAGGGGCTAAAAGTCCTCAAATATACTCCAAATTACTAGGAGAATGCAGTCCCATTGAATGGAAAAACAAATTGCATCAGCTCAGACCACTCTTTTGCCCTCCTGCCCAAATTCAAGATTAAAGGGAGACACTGGATTTACAGCAGAGCTGTTTACCAGCATTCTCTCTAAAGGAAGAGAGAACCCATCAAGAACCCCATGATAAAGACAGATGAAAAAAAAGAACTCAAGTACTAAATTTGTTCTGTATCATCAGGCAGTTCAATGGCATAACCAATTAAGGTACCAAGGTATTCCTTCCTCTGGAATCCATGGCACTATCCACTGTCGTCTTGAGTTAGATATACCAAAAGGCAGGAAATGTTCAAACTAAATTAATGAAGAGAAAAAGCAGCTATGCCTCTGTGAGGATGCCAACAAGGAACTGTTCTGTGGGAGGATTACCAAAACACAGTGTCTGAGAAGGAAGTGAAGGAAATTAAGAAAATAGAAAAGGTTACAACTAATCTAAATTTCTGTAAACATACAAATCAAAATCAGAGGTCAACACATGAGTAAAAATAAAATGTCGGATAGCCATAAGAACATCCTCAAAACACAGAGACAGAAAATGAGTGCACATCAAGATGACATGAGGAGGAGTGAGACTGAAGTACCTAAGTAGGCTGAATGATAGTGCATGGCAGGATGCTGCCCAGAAGAGAGGTGATGCTGAGTTTATTCTTAGGATACTGTTCAAACACAGTGCCTAACTGCTCCTAGTGCACTGATAAAAATATTTGGTAAATACAGGAAACTTCCTCAGCAGTTAGGGTACATTACAAAATTTTCTTTCTTTCTTTCTTTCTTCTTTCTTTCTTTCTCTCTCTCTCTTTCTTTCTTTCTTTTCTCTTTTTCTTTTTTCTCTCCTCTTTTTCTTTTTCTCTCTCTCTCTCTCTCTCTCTTTTTCTCTCTGTCAATGAAAAATGTCTTGTCTGTACTAAGTAGTTATGTCTGGGAAACTGAATGTGATGGGGGCCACACAATAATTTTTCCTTTCCCCAAGTTTGTTATGTAATCCTGCATTGGTATTGTAATCATTAGTAGAGGACCCTGTGAAGAGCCTAAAGGGTACCAAATGAAGTAGTATTGTTAACTGAAAAATCCATTTTCCCTTCCATTTTTGTCAACACAGTAGCAGTGCACTTACTGACTAAAAAACATATCCCCTACCCTTTTGTTTCATCATATGAAAATCTTGGCACTCATTCCCTGCAACATGAAAGCAAATGCCTGTAGACATGCCTGGTATATAACAAGTGCCTGTCATGCTGTGATGTGAGATGAATTGATTTGAAGGCAAACACCTTGACAGACAGGCCATCAGAGCACATGCAAAAATAACAGAGAAATAAATGAATAACACTGATGTACAGCATATCCCTGTGCTTGGCAAGCTTATAAATTTAAAAAATTGCCAGAATTGAAGCTATTTTAGCAACAAACATCAGAAAAACCAGTATCATCACCCTAGCATACTAATCTCTTGCGCTAAAGAGGGACAAGCTGTTTTTGCAAGCCTCACACACTGAAAACAGACTTTCTCCCAAACCTTTCACAAAGTCTTTCCTCCCTCTTCAGTAACAACACACACTATCAGCCAAGCTTTTGGCAGGTTACAAACCTCTGCAAATCATAATTTCCAAAATGTGCCTGGCACTAGTGGAAGCACAACTCGCAACACTCAGCTTGCTGAGACCCAGAAAAAAGCAGTGAGCCTCTGGCTGTGTGCAGTAGCAGATGCAGCAGTAAGACACATCCAGCATGGTCCCTTCAAAAGGTGCCAATAACCCCAACCAGAACAGGATGTCAGGATAATGCAAAGAATTCACTTTTTGCCCCAGTTGTCCCTGCCATCAGTCACTGTGACCCCTCCTCCTAAGTAAATGAAATCAATCAGCAGGGATTTCTGTAAAATACATAAAACAGTCATCTTCCAGACTCTACCAGAAGATAAATGGTTCCAGACATTGGACTGCAGCCATTTTCCCACACATGCTACAGTGTTTTGTCATCCATATTGGGCCATAATAGTGAGTGGGTTTTACTTTTTTTTTTTTTCTCAGTCAGCAGCCAATGTTTCTGCTTCTAACTCGTACACTAAAACCACAGCAACAAGAGTAATTTTTCTGTACAATTTGTAATAGAACAGTTTCACTCCCAATCAGACAGTCTGGGGTCTTGTACAGAACTTTGACACTTCTGCGACAGATAATATCATCTTATCGCTCTCAGCTGGAACTCCACAAACCTTTTTAGGATTAAGGCATATCACCCCAAATACAAGCCACTGAAGTGAAACAAGCATGAAATTATGAGCAATACAAACCTTATCTGAGAACCTGCTAACAAGAAATAATATGATTGCTTACAATATCTCATGCTGGCTTTTGTGCTAATTTCAAAGAAGGATACAAGTATACGACAAAAGATGCATCACAGTGTGAGTTTTCAATTAATTTTAACATATTTTCAAGCAAGTTCTTAATAATCTGTTAACATAAAATGCACTTTGGAAAGAACCATGGGGCTTTTTCATTACCAAGAAATGTGCAACCAAATTCTATCCTTAATTAAATCAGGAGTAATTTTATTAACAACAGTAGACTTAAACCTGACTTACATCAGTGTAACTGAGGGTAGGATTTAGCCCCGGGGTGTTTATACACTGTAGTTCCAGTTAGTTTAGATCTATTTGGGTGGGAACTCCTTTCCCCTTTCCAGAAAAAATATTCTTGCCTACCCTATTTCACCTCACAGCTGGGGCCAAAACAGCCTTTTCTTCTGAGATACTTTATTGAAAGGTTACAAATAAATCTTATCCTCGATAGGAGGTGACCTTATTAAACAAAAAAACACCCTCTGAAGTAAGGGACACCAGCAGCTTTAAAGTTTGTTGACAAGTTTTGAAACACGCCACCTCAAACAGATAAGCTTATTTACATCTTACAAATAAATAAAAAGTTTAAATAAAGGCTATTTAATACAGGAGCTACTTATGTCTGTTTTCAAAGCTGAAAAGCCCTTTCAAACAGTATTAGCTGTTGTATTAAACATCCCTGTTCCAGTATAGAAACTTACTGTCCACAGATATCCTTGGGCTTCACTGCACCTCTGAACCGAAATCACTTTCTTCTTTACTTCATTTTCTGCTCTCTTGAGATCAGATTCCCAGTTCCTGACAGATGGCTCCTCTGTCACTGAGCTCTGTTTCCGCCTCCTTATCGCTGCCAGCTAATACTTCCACGATGCTTAGCTGTTGTCTGCAGAGCTGTGCTCTACATAATTTCTACTCTGATCAATGCTCCGCTTGGTTTTAGGTTGTTCCTAGTCCCGCCTCCTGCTCTTGAAGAAACGAAAACTCACAGCTGGATTTTCTATAAATCATCCCTTCTAAGAGTGGCTGGGCAAGTATGGCAAATACTACAGCTAAGACCTACTGCTCTATTTGAAACTTCAAAAACAATTCCTCATCTTAATGATGCACACATGAAAGTTAATCATGTACTAAAATCACTAATACTGAAAAATAGTGGCCAGATAATTGTGACCTTCAGGGCTTAGATGCTGATTAATGTAATACAAAACTCCTTTCTGTTCCAGGAGGGGAACATGGTAAAACCTACTGCCTCAGTGAAATGCTTTATAAAACACCGTGCTTTGAACAGGAGCTTGTCATTCTTATAAAGATAAATTTACATTTGCAATGCAGAGCTTTCTGACAGACCAGCCCAGTGTACATACTGTTTAGGCTAGGAGCCCTACACTTGAAAGAGACTTTACCATCACAGCAACTCTTCTGAAGTGTGGGCAGGAAATACCTTTATTTTCTGCACAGCACTAAGTGCACTACACAGCGCTGAGCTCATTACCATGTTTAACAAAGCATGGAGTATAAAAGCAAGGTGGCACCATAAAACAGCACTACGAACTTTGTTCTCACAAAAACAGCAAAACAGAGCTGAGTTTCTGTAAACTGTTAATTGTTCTAATCCTCCACCTTCCAGATCTTCTTAAGAAACTGTGCTGTGGAAATGAAAAATGACTGGACAAATCTGAATACAGTCTGAACGGGCTGTGAAATCCTGTTTTTTTCTCTTGAATTTTCTATGGTGAGAGCTGCATCCCAGCTAAAGTGTTGTCAGAGCTAAAACCAACTCCTTCCTTACTAACAGCTGCCTGTGTCCTGGGGGCCCATGAGTTCCCCTGACTGCTGCCCACACTGAAGAGCAACTGAGCTGCTGCTGGAGTCTTGATGAAGAGCTCCTCAGGTTTCCAATCAGGGAAGTGTGCAAGAGCAGCATGTGCCAACAGCAACTTCTCCCCAAGTGTGCCACTCAACTCTCAGCAAGCTGGGACCTGTGGGCTTCTCCTGCCAGCTGCTGGAGCTGAACTATTGCATCACTGGTCTTCTATGAGTGGATGTCCTCCCTTTTTGAGTCTTGTCTATCCTACCCTAAAGTGTTCCAAAAATGCAGTGGAAAAACACCAAACAAAGCACTTTCGTCTGTTTATTCCAACTCTCTAATCACTTCATTACATGCACAACAATTCTCCCAAGTTCAGTTTTTCCACATGATAGATGAATCTCTGGGCTTCTGTCAGATCCAATTTGACTGTCTTTTTTCCCTAAGCTGAAGATCTCCTCTGTTTATTCTGGGGCTGGTCAGCCTTTCTGCTCATCCCCATAGGTACTGCTGCTCCCATAAGTACTGCAGCCAGCCCTTTTGTTCACCTGATAGAAGCTGATGACACAGGACCCAAGCTCAAGCCTTGCTCCCAGTCCATGACTGATACTGTTGAAAATATTCTCACTTTCTTTGCTTTCAGTTCTGCAGACAGTAAAGTGAGGACAGTCACTTGCCACCTTGTGATCTCCACCACCATGGCATGAGTGACCTGCACACAAGAATTCAGAACAACCACACCAGACTAATTTCCATATGGTTACTAGCCTGGCAGCCCAGGAGAAAGCAGTATGGATTAAGTAGCCAGGAATGCTCTGAGCCAAGGACAACACCACTGTGATGAGCTACTACTCTTTTAACCAGCAGCCACAAGACAAGGTCCTGGGCCCCTGTCCAAGCTGCGACTCAGATCTGAAGTGCTGCAATGACAGTGCTCTCCTGTAGATGCACTGGTGGATCAGTGCCAGTAATTTGATGATGGAGAGTGAAATGAGCGTGGGCAGAGCACTATCCCTGCACCCAATCCAAATATGTAATGGTAAATATAGCAAATCTGCTTTCCAGGTGCTGTGGCACATTCAGTACTTATCAGATGTCAAAAAACCCCACATAACTGATTAAAATTACTTGTTTGACCTTTAAAGTGTACTTGAAAATCCATAAATGAGACCCATCAGTAGTACATATCCAGTTGACTAATAGAATTTTGAATCGCTAGCTAAGGTTTCCAAAGAGATTAAATACTCAATAAAACGGTATGACATGCACTATAAGATTAAAATCTTCCAAGGACTTTTATAGAGCATTTTGTGTAATGTCTGGAGTAATGTTTATGGTACAGAGGGCAAGATTTGCTCTTTCTCTGCCTTGAGATTGCTGATCATCACCTGAACAACAAGAAAATGTTTGCTGCAGGTGGAAATAAATATATTTATTATACATTGTCCTCCATGTGGTTTAGCTCCAGAAAGTGCACGGAGTTCTTTGGGGGTGAAAGGGAAGATCTGCTGTTACCACTAGTAAGTGTTCAGTTCACAGGCTCAAATTAGAGCAAATCCCCAATAAGGCAGCAAAATGTGGTAGCATAGATGATGTTTTATCAGGAATTTTTCTCTCTGCAAATCTTTTATTGGGCCACACTACTTTCTAATTTTGAACCAAGTCCTGCAGCAGCCCAGTATGGCTGAACCCAAGACCATGGAGCGAGCTCAGGTTCCAGGAAACAATCCCCTGCATTTCTGGTCCCTGTTCTGGACCACTTCTACCAGCTTCTTCCTAAGCAGTGTGAACATGAGTCGGCCTGTGTTCCCTGGCTGCGGGATCCCACATTGTCCCTTTTTTGGTAGTACCGATGTTGTCCCAGGGATGAAGGACAGCAGGATAGTTCCTCCTGTCACTGTTGTGCAGCCCTCACTTCCCCCTCACCAGGAAATGGTTGTGAGTTTTGCTGAGACCTTACTGATTTCAGCTCCCCATAACTGTACTGGGAAGGGGAAGGAGAAGGAATAAATAACTTTCCATTTCCCTCCAGTGACTTGTAACTCGAAGAGTTCAGATTTCTCCATGCAACCAGAATAGCTACACCGGCTTGGCCCTGAACTCTTTTTGGGAATTGTATATATTTAATATGTCAAGCCTTCTACCCTGAGTTTGTCTGGTGAAAACTTTTAACAGTGCCTATAATGTGGTAAATAGAATTATTAAAAAACTCGTCCTTTTGTATCTTAAAACTCCAAGGTATTCAAGAACACATGATTTCTTACTGTCAGATTTTGCTTTGCTAAGACAGAACGCATGAGACACTAGACAGATGTGGGAAAGTCTTGAGTTCTTTGAGAAGAAACAACAGGTATGAGGACACTGATAGAAAGGTGAGCAAGATGAAGATGCTTATCTATGAAAACGAGCATTTGTGTCTGCCTACAGATCCTCTGCACCACTTCTCTGCAGCTTTCCTTCTCTGATAGTCTAAACATCCCTTTTCAGCTGAAACTTCTCCACAGTTGCGCTACACTTGGGTCCTCCAGCTCAAGTTCTCCTCATTAGTTTTTACTATCCAGTTGAAGGCCAGGAGATCTTTGGATCCTGGAGAAAACAGTACAGCCCTGTTTCAATCTCCTTTGATAAAACAAGCCACTTCCCCTCTAACAGCTTTTCCAAATCCCCTGATGCCAGCTGAGTGGGGGCTGGATCACAGGGAATGATAACTGAGTGCAGCATTGCAAATGTGCCCCTCTGTGCCATGTACTCACCTGTCCCATGGGAATACACTGCCAGACAGACCCAATGGCCAGGCTGCACTGCCAGCCCACATTTTGGGAGTGACTTGCAATTATTCTCCAGTCTGCAAATGTACTCAAGCCTTTGATCTCCTCTGTTGCTCCTAACTGCCAGCCTTCCAGATTTTGCCAGCATTTCCTGCTACTGTTCCCTAATCATGCTACCACTGATAACCACGGTACAACTGCAAACCGAGGTGCCTGCAGAGGAAGGGCGCATGGAGCCAGTGCCCCACTGTATGACCCCTTTCTTTCATCCCACTTTCTTATTGTGTGTCCTCTGCTAATCCGGGCAGATTCTGGAGGAGGACTTGAGGCAAAGGTTTTACTTTGTGCTGCCAGGAATGGACGAACCCTGTTTTCAGGTTTCACTTAGAAACACACTCATATTTTCTCCTAAAGATGATGGAATTTGTTCAGTTATAGAGATGAGGGAACATAAAGTGCTGCATCACTTTCAGCAAGAAGACAAGGGGGAAAGGAAAAATAATACTGGGTTATTACTATTTGATACTCTGAATCAAAATGGATTTTTTGAGGCAAAAAAAAAAATAAAAAAGCAAATTGAAAACTTCCTATCTAAAACAGAAAACTGTAATAACAACATGTTGACTGGGGGATTTTCTCCTGGACAGCTTTCATGCAGCAGATACTCCTACCTCTGACTGCAATTTCCCAAAGAGATCCTGAACTATTTGTCATTCATTTAGTATTGTGGTTGTTATGTAAAGTAGGACAGTTGTGCTATCTCCCCCTGATGAGAAAGCCATACACTTTTGCATTTTAAATCAAACACATTCTTTGAAGAATCAAAGTATGCATTACCTAACTTATTTTTCAGAAAAACTCTCTCATTTACACTTGGTCCTCATTTAGTCTTTCGTCTGCTGGAAAATCTCTGGAGTTAACATGGCATATCTCTGTGTCACATGTGTTCCCTTTTAATAGCCAATATAAATGTTTTTCAGCTCTGGACTCTACAGCTTGAGTCTCACTTATGAAAGCCAAGCAGAGCCTCTCTGCTTTACTCATCATGCGACCAAAGGACTGCTGATCTCCCGCTTGTCTACGGGCAAAGCCGGGGTTCCCAGTGCCCAGCCCAACACCATTCCCTTTGGTTTGACCGAACTGGTCAGCTGATAAACTCCAATCAGATTCCAAACACTCTTCAGCAAACTCTTCTTCCCTTCCCAAGGACTAGCAGTGCCACGCTCAGTTCAATGGCAAATCCCCCTCGCCTCAGTGCTCCTGCAGGCTGGGCCTGGTCAGCGTGGCTGTACGCTCCCATTAAAGGGACAAGGCATCTCAATGGTCCCAAAAATGGCACTTGCCATGCTTCAATGACAGCAAGCCCCGCTTAGCATGAGGTTCACTTTGTGGATGACAGAGGCACAGTATTTCCTTAGTATACTAAAATACTTCAAAGAGTTCAGAAATAAAAATTATTGGAATTGCTGCATGAGTCAAAATTTAAGAAGTTGATATTAAAATACAAATCACTGGCTTGCTTCAAGGGAGGAAAAAAAAAATTCTTGTTTTCAGCAGAAAGTTAATTGGGTGTCCTGAAAATCAGTAATTAAAAACACCATTAGTAGACAATAATCATCTGCAGTGCTAGTTTCCTTCTGTACATAAAAGGCTTTAAAATGACAGAGTAAGAGAGAAAAGTTCGGCATCAGCATTTGCCTCAAGACCCAATGCAACCGGGGGCTGACCCAGCATCCCTTATGCAGGGAATTGAGAGCTAGAAAAGATATTTTTGTTGCTGTGAATAAAAGTTGGATTTCTGAATCTATATGCCTGAACCATTTAAAATTAACTTGTTTACAGACAAACCTGAAATGTCATCCTGAGGGACAGCACCACCATTGCTATCATCCCCCATGCACATGTCAGAGAGAAGTGCCACCACCCGGGGCAGAAAATGCAGTCACTCTTTGCTGTGTAGCAACACAAGGCTGGAGGCAAAGAATACGGTTTCCAAATTAAACAGCAGGAATAATTTCTGCCAACAGGATGTAATTACTCCTCTTGTAAAAGAGCTGTGGAACACTTAATGGTTTCGAGCACTAATACATATGGAAACAGAGTGTTCCACAAATACCCAGCCAAGTGCTAGAGCACCACTGGCTTGGGGAGCAGTAAAAGGCTGAGAACACATCCTGTACTGCCTAAGACTTCAAGGGCCTCCTTCCAAATGCTGCTCTAGTGGGACTACTGAAGTTTCTGTAACAGGTATGGTCACTGCCCAGGGTGAAATTTCTTGTCTCTCACAGTAGCTGTAGTTACGACAGCTGACTGTGTTGCAGCACTGAGTATAGATTAATCATCATCAAATCTCAATGCCAGGTCTGTGACTACTTCAGGTTATTTATCTGACTTAAGACTGTTATCTACCCAAGCATCTCTTTATGAGCAAGCAGGATCTGAGACTGTCAAATAGATCAAGATAATTTCATAGGATATATGGAATCTCAAAGTTGATGTGCTACTGATACTAATTTTCTTAAGGCCTGACCAAAATACATTTGGAGATCAGAAATAAATAACAGCATCTAAATGCAGACATTTTAAAATTATGGCCAAAATATTCCCAGCATGTAAGGCCTAAATTCTTCACTCAACAAATACAATAAAGTGTTAACAAATAAAACAAATAAAATTTGTTGAGTAAAGGATGTTAGGCCTTAAATACACTGTGGCGACTCAGCTCCTACATTTACATGCAAAAATTCATAGCCATACTTTAGGAAATCAGACAAGCAGAGCTCTCCACAAAGCAGCTCTCCTGGTACAAGTTTTTTACTACCTTTACTAATGCAGACTGGAGCTTGGGAGGAAACAAATGTCCCAGCACCTCCTCTTTCATTTCCACTGAAAACATGAAGTTTTCACAAGACATCCATATACGTAAGACCTCCTGCAACAAAACCAGCTCCACTCACACCTCTCACAGAGTATTATGCATTTCCCAGAGATTTTAAGGTGGGATTTGTTAAAATTAAGAACAGTACTTATCTCAGGAGAAAATTGTCCCTAACCAAGAAAAAAAGACAAAGTTTTCTGCACATCCCTGCCTCAAACATCAGGAGAAAAAATGCTTACATGCTGGCAACTCATCTGAGGAACTGCTCTGAAGTTTAATAGGCTATAATCAAGACAGCAGAGGTTTATTTTGAACAATCACTTAAGGGAATGGGCATGAATTCTCCTTGTTAACGATGCCCCTCAGTGTGTGATTCTCTTATCCTCTAACTGACTGAAGAGAAAGCAAATGAGTCTGGTTGGTGATTATTTCACGATATAAAATTTATTTTTTAAACATGCAAAGATTCTTTTTGAGCAAAATTCAGCATAACTGAGGTATGAAACATTGTCTTCCTGACCTTTCAGAAATCCAAAAAATCTGACTTTGGTTCTTTGGTCAGTTATGCTATTGACAAATTCATTTTCTTTCAACGACATATGCAGAAAAAACTTCACTAATCATATTTCTATTACCATGATCCTTCACATCTTTTAGCATGATTTACAGAGGGGGGAAAATGAAAGAAAAACAAAAACTGGCAGTACATTATGCAGCTTTGGGCAAAGAAGATGATGGATTCTCCCAAAGTAATTTCCTGCAAAGTGAGATTTGATATAAAGATCTTGATTATGTATGTCAGTGCTGGGAAGGTACCCAGACATGTGAGACTATCATTTACAACCAATGCAGCCAAGGCAGAGGCCACTACTGGGTTTTAGAAATGAAGAGCATTAGTACAAGGGATCAGAAAGAAAGGATTTTTCAGAAGAGTTGGAGACAGCAATATTTGATTTAACTTACAATACACTACTACCTCCTAAGATGGTCCCAATTAGACCTATTTCTGCATACCACATTTGGCGAATGATGCCACACTTGGTCTTGTCCTTCTCTAACTCTCTTGGCAAAAGCAACAAAGACTTCCTAGCACTAAAAGGCCACACTGCGGTTTTGTTTACAAAAATCACTTCTAGGAAAAAAGAGAGGGTAAAAAAAACCTCTGTGAAATACTCTGTTTCCAAGGACAAAGCAGAATGGTTCCATGTGAGTCATTTTCAGTCTTTTCAGGCTTGGCATTTGTGGTATGAACTCAGAAAAGTCATTACCAGTAATTCTGTCATTTCAAGTGTTTGCAACACATGAGAAATAAGTGCTTCTAAAATGAAAATCCCATCCTAACCACTTCAGTAACATTTAGAGATCAACTTCCTACAACTTCAACCTAAATCCATCTCACTATATTTAAAAAATATTTTTGGATGCTCTAAGTAAACCAAGGCATTCAACCTGGGACTTGAGAAAGAGATTTTCAAACAAAAATGTTGCAGGAAGCAAGCCATGATTAAGGAGACAACACATCTCCATTTGTTCACTTGAAGCACTGCTTGTTGGATTAACCCAAAGCGAGCCTGCAGTCCAGCCATATCTTTTCTCCTATCTTCAATAAAGCCAAGCAAAAACAAAGAAAAGAAAACGTATCACATGTGCAGCCACTTTGTAGGAAAGTTTTGAGTGGTCTAAATTAATTCCTTTGTTCCTACTGACATATGGAAACTGCTCCTCTGAACTCTGATGAGGAATCCATCTCTGAGCTTCGTTTTTATTTGCTATATTTAATGACGGCTGTTATAAACCAGTCTAAAGAGGGAAGCTAAAAGCAGAACGAAAATACAATATTTGGGTCTTTCTAGCACTAGTTTAGGTTTATAACCAACAAAGCAGGCAGTGCACTGTGATGGTCTGGGTAGTCCCAGCAACATGGAGTCTCCTCTCTCCCTTCCCAGCTGGACTATCTGACAGTGTTGT